TCTGACAAATTTAGTCTGTAAAACATCCAGCATTAGAAAAAATGTTTTTTATAAGTTCATTAAAAGCATTAATACACCAGATAAAACTTGTTGATGAGTTTTGTGGAGCATAATCAATGATGTAATCAGTGATTTTAGTAATCACAACATCAGAGGAATATATAATTCTATATCTTAGATTGGGAATCTATAAAGATGATTTATAGCCAATAACCTGAAACCACACCAAACAAATCTCACTGTCATCAAGAAGATACTGATTTTTAGCAACCTTGTAGGACAGAGTAGCACTTTCCCATATGGTCTCTGAGGCTCTCAGCTTTATGGAGGAAGACTGCTAAAGCTTCCTCATACAGATTGACTGGTTGATCCAACCACCCCCCCTCGCCCCCATCATTGCAGTATACAGCTGAGTGCATTAATTACTGTACTACCAAGACTACTAATAACCATTAGGGTTATATGAATTTTGTATTTGTTTGCTTGCTAATTTTGTGTATGGTGAATTTATAATTAAATAATGAAGAATACATCTTTAGGATGCATATATTACTTCATTGTAGTACTATTTTGGCATATAAGACATGAGTATATAATAGGATAAAAAAGATCGATGATTGGTTTCTCAGAATTGCTAGTCACCTGCTCAAGGGAAAGACATGTAAGCCTTGGTAGAAAGAATAAGGATCAAGATTGTGAATCATGTGATATGTTCCAGAAAACCTAGTTAGTGCAATTTGGAGAATTTCCTCTAAGACACAATTAGTATCTTCTGGTTTATATGATAAAGAAATAGTGAACTTTCATTTTCAGTAAACTCTTCCTTATTTTATAATCTCCTAATTACTATGGCATCCCTAAACACCAAAACACCTTTAATTGAATCTCTGGAGCCTGGAATAAATATTTCTGGGCTGCGGAGTAGAAGACATCCCAAAGGAGTGCTGGGGAAATATCTACGCACACACAAACACACACATATATATAGTGGTTAGCTAAGGGAGGTCAAAGCATCAGGGAGGGGAAAGAGC